CACCTTAAGACCCTTCCATCTATGAAGAGTATTTGATTCTACCATATCTGGGTCTTGAGAAGAAGATTTTTGAAATTTTAGTCAATTCGACCCTTTTTGGCCCCGCCCCTCAGGCCCCTGGGGGCGTAGGACTAAACCGGCAACTATTTTTGTTGACCTTTGTCCATGGAAGGTCCCTGCAAATTTTCATTGAAATTGGTTCAGGGGTTTTGGAGAAGAAGTCGAAAATGTAAATTGTTTACGGACGCACGACGGACGACGGACGACGGACGATGACGGACAAAAGGCGATCGCAATAGGTCACTTGAGACTTTGTCTCAGGTGACCTAAAAAGTAACTACAGACGATAATAGCATAACATGACATCAGCTAGCAAAACTTTCTCTCTTAGGTATATATATATATAAGAACCCCTATTTCTTATACAGAGTTGATGAACTTAAAGGACCTATTTATAGTTCAAATTCCAACTTTCTACCAATAAATAGCTACAACGGATATGGACACTAGGCATTACATAAGTCAGTATAGGCCAATATATGTGACAAAGACTTGACATTGTCCCACTTCCCACACTTATTGACCAAGCCAGACTTCCTATTGTCCTCCACTGTGCCTGATGTTATCACCCGCGCCTATTTGCTAATTATGTGAGAAGCCTGATTTAATTGTTGGACACACCTAAAGCGTCAGCTTTTCTGTCCTGTTGTGTCACATAGGCTTCTTGTTTCCTAAAGTAGCTCGTGATAGTAGAGGACACTATGTGCAACCCGCCATACACCAACAGGCCAGGTGACCACAAGCCCAGTGTACCACCACTTACTCAGATCTGTGTCTCTGACTGACCGACGCCAGCCTTCTTGTGGCTGAAGTCCCTTGACCACAACAGTACTAAAGTATTAACTGTTTTATGAGTAATACCTAATGGATTTTTCAGCTGTTGCCACCTTTTCCCGAAATTCAAACATGCTATGACGGCAATTTTAACTTATCAAAATACTTCCCACTAGTAGCGGTTGTTCGCATGTAACAGGTACAAGGGTGTCAAACCTTACTAGGCTGACTCCGAGGACTAGTAGATTGTAATTAAGGGCTAGTGAAAATTGTCATAATATACGATCACAAATAGGCTGGTCTAGTATTATCTGTCAAAATCTGCATATGGGCTAACTATCTTAATATTATAATTGAATACCACTGGGTATAGCTAGTTTACAACCATAAATATATAATATTTCTTAACAAAGGTTAACTCAAATTTGCTCATGCTATTCAAAGATACTGTTTTTAACAAGTCAATTTCTTAGAGTAACAAATGTACATGTCTTACCATATATAATGTTATTAATGATTTTATATTTATAGTTTGGGTGGGATATGTTTATGCATATATATTGTTGTAAGGAAGTTGTGTACATTGTAGGAAGGTTTGGGTTCAGTAAACAAGAGGCCCAATGGGCCTGCATCGCACACCTGGTATTAATCTCACACTTGTAATCTTAAAAGTGGACTAAAATACAGCTACAGGCAGAATATCAGTGTGACCTTGAATGTCAAACAATGACATTAGGTTAAAAGTGGGTCAAGGTCATTCATTTAAACAAATTTGGTAGCCCTGATTGCTACAGGCCAAAATTGAGAAGAAGTTGATTGAAGATTTTAAGACATTTGACACCTGTGACCTTGAAAGTTGGTCAAGGTCATTCATTTGAACAAACTTCGTAGCCCTTCATCCCAGCATGCTACTGGCCAAATATCATAACCCTGGGCATTTTGGTTATTCAGAAGAAATTTTTAAAGTTTTTAACATATTTGACCCCTGTGACCTTGAATATGGGTGAAGGTCATGCATTTGAACAAACATTGTAGCCCTTCATCTCAGCATGCTACTGGCCAAATATCTTCACCCTGTGCATTTTCGTTATTCAGAAGAAATTGTTGAATGTTTTTCACATATTTGACCCCTGTGACCTTGAATATGGGTGAAGGTCATTCATTTAAACAAACTTTGTAGCACTTCATTTGCTCTAGCTACTGGCCAAATATCATCACCCTGGGCAATTTGGTTATTGAGGAGAAGATGTTTAAAGTTTTTGACATATTTGACCCCTGTGACCTTGAAAATAGGTGAAGGTCATTAATTTTAACAAACTTTGTAGCCCTTCATCCCAGCATGCTACTGGCCAAATATCATCACCCTGGGCATTTTGGTTATTCAGAACAAGTTTTTAAAGTTTTTAACATATTTGACCCCTGTGACCTTGAATATGGGTGAAGGTCATGCATTTGAACAAACATTGTAGCCCTTCATCTCAGCATGCTACTGGTCAAATATCTTCACCCTGTGCATTTTCGTTATTCAGAAGAAATTGTTGATTGTTTTTCACATATTTGACCCCTGTGACCTTGAATATAGATGAAGGTCAATTATTT